CCCTTTTCATCTTTTTTTTTTTTAAGGGATTTTTGATGGCAAAGTCTGACTTTGTTTTTAATTTCCCCTAATCAGAAGTTTGAATCAAGTGATCCAACATCATTCCTGCTGGAGGAGTGTGAAGCCGTGTCCGCAGACGACGTATACATGTTTCAGTCTTAGACATGTTTGGTCATGTCAGCCTTTCTGGAGGTTTGGTTTCTTAATTTAAAGGTAAAAGGAATAAAGACAAACTTATAAACATCTTGAACTGCTGCATGACTTGAACATTTAAGATTGGAAATGAGGTGTACATTTAAATGAAAGACAACAGAAAAATCAGCACATTAAATGTCCTTGTATGTATTATCTTGGTCGAATAGCAGCGACAACGGACGTGTTTCATCACAAGACCTTCATCGACGTTCGCCTTGTTGTTGATCTGTTCGCTGTCTGACAATCTGTACGTCCGTTGTTGACCTGTACGCTGCTGCTCTATCCAGATGAAAACTTTAAAAGGACAATTAGTGTGTTGACTTTTTTGTTTTCTTTGTAGTCTTTTTGTAATCGTTTTGAGTGTGCTCCGTTTTTGATATTTTTTAGGTTTAATTGAACCCACAGTCTGTTATATTTGTTAACCATGGCAGAGTTTCAGCTGTTACAAATCTACTTCTTACCGTAACACTCTGAACGTTCTGAAACTTGACGTAGCGCAGAGGGATCAAACAGTCCTCTTTGTAGTCTTCCTCTGAAAGCTCCAGGGCCTGGGTGGCTTCACTCCTCTCAGCGTCATCAAAACCCATCGACCGGGGGAGATTTATGAACACCTTCACCACCTTAGGGGCTTGGGCTGACACAAACAAAGAGGAATAAGCAGGAGGAGGAAGGAAGGAGGAGAAAAGGAAGGATGGATCAAAGGATTGGATGGTTAATTCCAGGGCAATAATTTAGATTGAAATACGTCCAGATGAGAGAGGTTGAATGACTCAGGTGTAGAGCAGTATTAAAAAGACTTACCAAAGTCTGAGGACAGCAGCTTCATAGAGAAGAGCTTCACTGGCTGATTAAAGGCCATGGTTATCAGCAACTGGACAAAATCAAAAGACAGCAACATGTTAAAAATAAATCACACAGCTGAACTCAGAAGGTACAAGAAGATAACATGATAGAGAATATAAGGTTGGCCTTTGTGTATATTCTTCTCCTTCAATCTCGTGATTTTAAGAAGCCCTATCTTCGTCGAGGGTTGAAGTTCATACCTGTTCATCGCAGTCAGACTCCAGGTAGGTGGAGTCTTTGATTAAGCAGTTATCGAAGCCGCAGTCGTCGCTCTCGTTGAGGCACTCGCAGCCGGCTTTGTTGACGAAAGGCATGAGGTCCATCTGAAATCAAACGAGACAGAAACATCTCAGTCTATTTCAACCACGTTCATCGTTTACATTAAAAACACAAAAACATGTGAAAAGCAACCGCTTGATTCATGTTCTCTACATTCAACATGACAGCTGTGCAGAGTTACTGCTTCATCTGTTTCCTGCATCGTTACATAAACTGTGTTTCTCCTTCCATAAGGTTAACTTTACAAAATGACTGAAGAGCTTTACACCTGGACTGCTTTGAAAAAAGGCTTCTTAAAGATCCCTTCAAGTTTCAATTGCTATGAAGGAACTGAACTCTGTTTAAGAACTACAACTGTGATCAATGTAGGGCAAGTGCAACTAGTCATGACCAGGTGCAATTGAACAAACTTTTATAACTATTCTATTATTATCGTGATGGACAGACATCCAGAAATATAATGCATGCAGCCATCGCTGTTTCTGCGAATTGATTAAATGCCACTATATACCCATTATACAAAAAAGGGGACACAAACAACCAGAAATATCGATCACTTACATATCCCTTTGGAATGTCGGAGTCCTCACTGTTTCCCGGGTCGTTCTCTGTGTGTTGTTTAATCTTCTCCTCCAGACCCGACGCGTCTGCCCCCTGATACTGATCCACCCTCACTCTGTTCCTGAAGAACAAGAACGTCGGTGTGGCTGAGATGTTGTTAGCTGCTGCTGTCGCCTGAGACAAAGAGAAACAGTTTGAAAAATTAGCTTTGCATCATCAGAACCTCGTGAATGGGAAATGGACTTGAGCTTGCAAAGCGCTTTTCTAGTCTTCTGACTACTCAAAGATCTTTTACACTGCATGTCATACCTACACATTCACACACTGATGGCAGAGGCTGCTATGTAAAGTGTCCATCAGAAGTAACTAATCCCATTCATACACGCACTGCTGACGAAGCAGCGGGAGCGACTTGGTTGGTTAAGTGTCTTTCCCAAGTACACCTTGGACATGTTGCTGCAGGAACTGGGGATCGAATCCCTGACCGTCCAGTTGAGATATGACAGACTCTACCAACTGAGCCACAGCCACCCAAACCAAGTTTTAACTGCAACAGTTTGCATCTACCTGTTTCGTATCTTTCCCAGTATGCTCTGGGGACTTGTGTCAGTTGTATGAATGTCACTGTTTTCACCACACACCACATTCATTATATTAAAAGCCAAATAATGGATCCTAACATCTTGCTGATGTACAGATTTGCTGTGCATTTCAGATCAAGAATAAGTCTCGATAAACTTTGTATTTCTTCTCATGTCCAAATCTTCAAGAAAAACCCCAACAACAAACATCCTTACAACAAGTAATGGTTGTATGTGTGTGTGTAAGGCCTGATATCTTCTTCCTCTGTGCATTAGAACATCATTATTGGAACACGCAGCTGAATATAGCATCACACATTGCTGCTTTTGGTTGAATAAAAATCTTGAATAAGAAAAAACTCTCCCTTAAAATCTCCACAACCTCCAGATCCCTTTTGCAGGAAGTTTTGTCTACTGGTAGACCAAAGGGCTCATGCTATACCTGGTTTTCTAGATATACAGTATGAAATAAATATTGCTCTTTGTGTATCTTCTCTCAAACTGTAAAAAGACTCTGTGGGATTAAAACATGGTGGTGGAAGCTGCAGCTCAGACTTACTTGACAGACATGAACATCTACTTCAAGGAAGACGACCTGTGGGTACTTGGTGCTCAACATGTTGAAAGCCGGAGAAATTCTGACACAGGGCCGACACCTGAGGAGGCAGAGGAGAGTGTTTTTTCATCAGCTCTGGTTTCTTCTGCTAACAATGTCAAACAATGAAACAAATCAATGTACAGAAAAGAAACGGACAACTGTAATCTATACAATGTTTCAGATATTTGAAAATACTTTAACTAAGCTTTATTTAATGCAAAGATTGTCTGCTCATTTCTGTAGCAAATATCACAATTACCAAGTAAACCTACTCTTTATTAAGTAAGTTCTTGTAACTGTACTTTAGATTAGATTAACTGTACATCCGGGAGAAGATAAGACCCAAAAACAAAGAATCTGACCATTTATGTTCTGTTATGGAGTCACAAAAGTACAGGTAATATCTCAATGAATACTGTGGTTTAAAAAGTAAGTGTTTAAAACTACAACACCTCTTTACACCAAACAGAATATTAACATACATTTGGAAAGGCTTTCTTGTAGTTCTCTAACTTGACAGATAAAGGGCAAAACATCTCTGGTGAACAAACTTTCTACTAGTAAAGAATTTTTATTTGAATCAAAAGTGTCCATTTCTTTAACAATATGAGCAAATGTGTGCTCCTTCAGTCACACAGCACAAAGGTGGTCATGTGTCATTGCTGTAACTGGGTATGCAATAAACACAAAGGCAGATTTCACTGTAAGAAAGACTCATATTTCTCCTCTTTAAACAATAGATGTAAAACACTGAAGCAGATCTATAGCTAATATGCACACTTTAAAATGTGTTTATTTACTGCCCTTCGTTTTGTTATTGAAATATTTAACAATGTAAGAACATATTGTGGATTTTTTTTTTTTACATTTCTGTTTTGATCTTCAGTGTTTTCTGTATTTTCTTTTGATCAAATCGCAGAGAAGAACGATATCGCAATTTTAGTGTTTCTCCAATATGGAGCAGCTGGAGCCCTACTTACATGTCATGTATCAGATAAAGAAATGATTAGCTTACCAGTCCTACACAATCAAATCAAAGTGATGTACCAGGTAAATGCACAAAGATTGACCACACTGAACAGTAAGCTAAGCTACAGCTTGATTTTTTTATCTAATTTAAATTAATTGTGAGGATCCTGCTTTTGTTGGTGAAGATTGCTAAGTATATTGATTGCCAACTCTTCATTTATTTGGTCAACACTTGATTGAATCGCAGGACACCTCAGCACTGTAATAAGTGCTATGTCATCCCAAGCAGGACAGCTAGTGAGCTAACCACAGCTAGCATGCCAAAGAGAGCAGCTCCTGTCAAACACGTAGAAACACTGTTAACAGCCTAAAACAGTTCAACGACGAGCTCAGACTACTTTTCATATCTTCAGTTTTCCTGGAGAAGAGACTTAAGTCGTAACCACGGAGACTAGCGCGGCCTCGGCGCCGGGTTGTCGAGCTTACCCAGCCATTGTGAACTTCACCACGGCGAGCCTGGAGCCGGCGGCCGCTAGCTCCGGCTGGAAATCCGGGTCGCTCCCGATCACTTTGACACCCACCATGGTACAGTCTGCGGCTGCTGTGTGAGCTGGTAGTCTGGCTGAAGTTCAGGACGACAAACTGTTCTAAATAACAAATAAAAAACGGTTTTGTTTTTAGCTTTCTGTCAGCGTTTAAGCTAACTAGCAGTCCTGTTTTCGAGCCACACAGTTACAGTGAGGTGATTCAGGATGTGGACTCCTGATTGGCCAATACACACCCGGAAAGGCGGGGTTTTCCGGTCTCTTTCTTCTTCTTCTGTAAATTCTGGCAGTTTAGCCGCCTCAACAAGTGTTACTGCACTCCATAGGAGGAACGATAACACCTCTGACTATCTGTTTGACACTAGGGGTATCTTTTTATTTATTTTTTTAAGATTAGAAAACATATATTGGTCTCATTACATTTGACATTGCAACAAAATGTTATAATTTTATTAGTTTAGTTTATTTTCAGTAGGCCTAAACTTTATTCGGAGTAGAAATGTAAACATAGAATAATACAAGTGACAATAAAAGTACATAAAAATGTGTGTGTGCCTGAGAATATGAGTGAATCTAAGAGCTACAACTATTAATAACAGCCTAACATATTGTCATCATTATGAATATTAAAGTGAATCTCAGAGCTGCTCAGCTTCAACCTCTGTATCGTTAACATAACCAGCTCCCTACTTCATCACTTTACAGTTTCTAACATTCATATTAGACTGATCAGTCTATTATCACACTTAGCTGTTTCTGCTTACACTACACATATTTTTACCATTATGACTGATATTGTACCTATACATATCTTATTCAATGTTGTTACTTTGTTTGTTTCTATCCTTCTCCTTCTATCCCACTTTCCAAGCCAGCACAGTGTCAGCAGGCAGCTTTTCATCATGAGTCTGGTTCTGCTCGAGGTTTCTGCCTCTTAAAGGAAGTTTTGCCTTCCACTGTACTTTGCTAAATGTTGCTTCGTGCTCATGATGAATTAATGCTGGATCTTAGATAATATAACAAAGAGTAATGTCTATTTACCTTCTCTTTTGTAAAGTGTCTTGAGATAGGCTAACGTTTCTTATGAGCCATAAAGATTGATTGACTGATTGATATGTTAGAAACTATCAAATAAATAATATTAAACAAAAGAAAAGAGGCCAGGGTACAACATAATAAAACACGAGAAGCTACAATTAGAGCACAAATTCACATTTTTAATAGCTTTTACCAATTTACCACCACCCATCCTCTCCGCCTTACAGGGGTACAGTGGACAGAGTCAGCTGTATTATAGTGAGCTAATGAGAGGATCATAGGGGTCTGTCTCCCCTCCATCCAGGACATGTTCCAGTTTCACACTGTACCCAAGAGCCTCTTTCATTGTGAAGGACCTTTTCCACCCTTACACACACTGTGTCCCCCCTCTTATCAGGCAGGAGGTTAGACATGTATTAATTATTTACTTATTTATTCATTTACTTATTCAGTTTTCTAATTTTTCACACTGTGAAATATTTCAGTGACAATGCATATTATTTACATCACCCATTGTATTCATGCTCAACAATAGCCTATATGTTTCACAGCTAGTTGAAATCATTTGGAGCACACCTTGCAGTCTTTTGAGATGAGATGATGAGATGAGATTCAACTTTATTGTCATTACACATATACAAGTATAGAGTAACGAAATGAGGTTTGGCATCTCACCAGAAGTGTAAATAAGCAGAAAGTGCAAGAGTCTGTGCTATGTACAGTAATTCTGTGCTATGTACAGTGATTGCAAAATTTACAGATGTAGACAAAGAAAGTGAATTATTCGGTAAATCTGGATGGCTGGATTAATGGGATGCAATAAATATAAATAAATGCTATAAATAAGTAATCTTCTTTTCTGTTATCTTGTTGTTTTAAAGACATTTATTTGATTTGCACTAAACTCTCTTAGCATCTGGTCTGTGAGAAACATCATTAGATTCAGACCGGTTTGGACCAGGGAACGTGACGTCACGAATGTAAGGACAAAGGCGTTCTGCACATGCGCTGCTGATCAGCGCCGTGCCATCAATGACGTCATTTTAGACGTCACAGATTTGTCGAACCGAGGTTATGAGTAGAGGCTGTTCAGACCATAAAGTAAGAACTCTGGGACCTTGAGTTCCAGGGGTCAGGGCCTGCTCTGGGGAGTTTGCATGTTCTTGCCTTGCAGGCGTGGGTTCATCCGGGTTCTCCGGTTTCCTCCCACAATATCAAAACATGCTCGTTAGATAGGATGGCTATTTGTTTGTTTGGTCGGATTCGTCGGTCCGTCGGACACAAACATATAGCCTATACGCACCCGCGCGCGCGCGCACACACAAACATACAAACAAAACAAACAAACAAACATAGTCTATACATACATGTAGGCTAAATTGATATTTACAGAGATAGATAGATTCATTTTGGAGCCATATTGGGCTTTACTTGTTCATTTATCTCTGTTCCAAGGATCCAGGTGTTTGGAGCCAGGTGTGTCAATGCATTGATCTCTGTTTGAGACATCGCTAATATTTTGTATGTAATTCAGAAGTTGAACACTAGGAGGAGTCTTGGTTTAATAAAGCCAAGGCTCCAGGTGGTTGGAGCCAGGTGTGTCAATGCATAGATGACAGACAAACAGACAGACAGACAGACAGACAGACAGACAGACAAACAGACAGACAAACAGACAGACAGACAGACAGACAGACAGACAGACAGACAGACAGACAGACAAACAGACAGACAGACAGACAGACAGACAGACAGACAGACAGACAGACAAACAGACAGACAGACAGACAGACAGACAGACAGACAGACAGACAGACACACAGACAACAGACAGACAGACACACAGACAGACAGACACACAGACACACAGACAGACAGCAGGACTGAATAACACACAGGAAGTGGCTTTTCATAATTACCTTTCTCTCTGACAAAAGATAAGATATGAAAGGTATTCTGGTGTTTTGGCTGTTTATATATCACCTCTTAAGAGCACCTACCTACTTACCTATGGGCTACCTATTTACCTACCTCCCCTTCTCCCTACCTATACTTACCTTCCTCTCTCCTTACCTTCCTCCCTACCTGCCTCGTCTCTGAGCCTCTCTTTGGAAAAGAGTCTTTCAGGGATGAGGTTGGCTCATTACACCTGTTTTGAAGCTGCATATTCTTAAGAAATATACAGGAACAACTACAAAACCCACTTTTCCTGTTTGTCTTAAGAGCCCAAAATGTGTTGAAATAAGGCCCAGGTTAAAAACTGAGGAGTTACCCTTTTCTTTACTACACCCCCTTTGTTAATAAAGTTTCCCTATTTAACAAACTGATTGTCTTGGAAATGTTCAAATCTAGCATTGTGTTTGTTACAATTCCCTTTCTTACCTGGATTTAAACTGAGATTTATTTGTATGTGTAAAAACTTAACGGGTGCTGAACCCTCAAATCAGAGGTCAACTTTCCCTGAAAAACATTTCTTACTTGATTGACACCAAAATATTTACAAGACATCTCCAGACAGTCCACCACAAAAGAAACAGACAGATTGTGTATTTCTCTAAACTGAACCCATTTCTACAGAAGCCCTTAGCAGACATGTGTCAATACATTTGATATAATTCTGTTTTCCCATAGTTACCAGTAACTTTCAGTTGCCCACAGGAGAGAGAGAGTCAGGAGCACTATTAGTCAATGTGCACCTCTCTGGTGACCTCACCTGGTGTCTCTCTACACCTCCCGGGGAGACTGATGAGAGCCAGTTTATCACCACCCATCCTCTCCACCTTACAGAGGTACAGTGGACAGAGTCAGCTGTATTATAGTGAGCTAATGAGAGGATCATAGGGGTCTGTCTCCCCTCCATCCAGGACATGTTCCAGTTTCACACTGTACCCAGAGCCTCTTTCATTGTGAAGGACCTTTTCCACCCCTTACACACACTGTGTCCCCCCCTCTTATCAGGCAGGAGGTTAGACATGTATTAATTATTTACTTATTTATTCATTTACTTATTCAGTTTTCTAATTTTTCACACTGTGAAATATTTCAGTGACAATGCATATTATTTACATCACCCATTGTATTCATGCTCAACAATAGCCTATATGTTTCACAGCTAGTTGAAATCATTTGGAGCACACCTTGCAGTCTTTTGAGATGAGATGATGAGATGAGATTCAACTTTATTGTCATTACACATATACAAGTATAGAGTAACGAAATGAGGTTTGGCATCTCACCAGAAGTGTAAATAAGCAGAAAGTGCAAGAGTCTGTGCTATGTACAGTAATTCTGTGCTATGTACAGTGATTGCAAAATTTACAGATGTAGACAAAGAAAGTGAATTATTCGGTAAATCTGGATGGCTGGATTAATGGGATGCAATAAATATAAATAAATGCTATAAATAAGTAATCTTCTTTTCTGTTATCTTGTTGTTTTAAAGACATTTATTTGATTTGCACTAAACTCTCTTAGCATCTGGTCTGTGAGAAACATCATTAGATTCAGACCGGTTTGGACCAGGGAACGTGACGTCACGAATGTAAGGACAAAGGCGTTCTGCACATGCGCTGCTGATCAGCGCCGTGCCATCAATGACGTCATTTTAGACGTCACAGATTTGTCGAACCGAGGTTATGAGTAGAGGCTGTTCAGACCATAAAGTAAGAACTCTGGGACCTTGAGTTCCAGGGGTCAGGGCCTGCTCTGGGGAGTTTGCATGTTCTTGCCTTGCAGGCGTGGGTTCATCCGGGTTCTCCGGTTTCCTCCCACAATATCAAAACATGCTCGTTAGATAGGATGGCTATTTGTTTGTTTGGTCGGATTCGTCGGTCCGTCGGACACAAACATATAGCCTATACGCACCCGCGCGCGCGCGCACACACAAACATACAAACAAAACAAACAAACAAACATAGTCTATACATACATGTAGGCTAAATTGATATTTACAGAGATAGATAGATTCATTTTGGAGCCATATTGGGCTTTACTTGTTCATTTATCTCTGTTCCAAGGATCCAGGTGTTTGGAGCCAGGTGTGTCAATGCATTGATCTCTGTTTGAGACATCGCTAATATTTTGTATGTAATTCAGAAGTTGAACACTAGGAGGAGTCTTGGTTTAATAAAGCCAAGGCTCCAGGTGGTTGGAGCCAGGTGTGTCAATGCATAGATGACAGACAGACAGACA